ACCAATGAGGAACAAGACACATGACTATAACAACCAATCAGAACTTGACACATACACAGGGCAGAAATACATGAGGGCAAGGGAAGCATGACACTAACATCAGAAATCAAATTTAAAAAATAAAAGACATGAAAACCAAGAATATGAAACAAAACCAAAACAGACATTACAATCGCTTGAAATCAAAAGTTCAGAAATTATATTTTACTAAAACTACATTTCCTATCAACCTCTTTGTCAGCATAATACGATACATAATACATTATATATTATTTATCGTTTATTGAAGTTAAATTATATTAATTTCATTCATGCCAAAATAATTGTTTCCAGACAGGGTGGTTTCATTGCTGTATTATAGTAATTAAAAGAAAATCTAAAGAGAATTCCAACCCAAAATTAAAACATCTGGATAAATACAAGTAAAGAGATTGTTTTTCTAGGGTGAAATATGACTTAGAGATGCTCTGTTTGAGGTTCACTTTAACTGTGGTAAGAAAGTTATGCAGAAAGAGTGGCTGAAATATTCCTATGGAATGTTGTGTGAGAGGACACGGCAGTGTTAACTTTGTCCTAGTTCCTGTGAGGTCAAAGTTCACCACATTTCACACGAGTTCTGATCTCCACCTGCAGCAGAGGACAAGAGAAGAGCTCTTCTGCTATGCACCATCCACGATGAGATGATATTCATAAGCACATGGATGTAATCCCCTCCTACACACTGGGTTCTGTTAGATAACATACTGGGCTGCTCAGGTAGGGAAAATAGACAAAAAGTGGGAGGAAAGAAAAAGAAAGAAAGAAAGTTAGGTGGAACCAAGAGACGAAAAATAGCAGGAAATAAGGAAGGGATGGAAAAAAAAGTAGAAAGGAATGATAAAAAGAAAGAAAGAATATAGAAAATGTATTATATAATAGTGTATTATATAATAAATGTACAGAAACTACATCCTTACCACTTCTCGCAATCTCTCGCAAAAGAGGCAGAGGGTGTATGTCTGAAATCTCGTTTAGCCGCATCACTTCTAGTGTTCAGTCTAATCTGAGCATTCATTTGGTTAAGTGAACACAGAAACAACACATCATGTGAAGAATTTCTTGTCAATTAATTTGATTGCAGCTGTTTTAACCCAAATCTGAGATTAAAACCCTGGTGACACCTCACAGAGCCGATGCTCCTAAAAACACATCAGCACTTTCACCAAATAACTCTTGTCAGTGTTATTTTTTAATTGCTATTGATACCAAACAATGCTGGATGACTGATGCGGGGGAGCTATATGTTACACATCATCACACATATGTTGTGTTTTTCCAGAGGTGAAGCTCTGTTGCACAATATGACATTTAAAATAGCTTAAGGGAATTTAAGGGCATCGAGGGGCTTTCTGTATAAAGGGGGCTTGGAACACACGGGTCACATGATATACATACTGTAACACAATGCATTATAATGTGTATTTGTGATTATTAGTGATTGTAAGCAAATATTGAAACCGTCAGATCAATTAGTAGGTTGCATTCAGTGCAGCTTGAACATAAAAACACTGCAGATAAATATCAATTAGGTAGCACATAAATATAAATAATAGTAAAAATTTAACAAAAGACCCCAATGTACATAACTGATACAACAGTAATATGAAAAAATAAAAATATATATATCATATGCCATGTTATGCAAATTATAAAGTGAGTCATGCAAACAAAAATAATTTATGAAAATTTTATTGTAAAAGTATTACCTTCCTAAAGAGAATTCAGAAATCATTCTAATATGCTGATTTGCCGCTCAAGAAACATTTCTTATTATTATCAGTGTTGAAAACAGCAGTGCTGCTTCATACAGTATTTTTGTAGAAACTGATAAATTTTTTTCAGGATCCTTACAGTATATGAATGGAAAGTTCAATGAACTGCATTTATTTGAAATAAATATTTTTGTATAAATTGAAAAGTCAAATTAATGTTGCAATTTAATGCATCATTGCTGGATAAAAATATTAATTCTTTAAGAAAACTGTTTTTACTAGCCCCAAACTTTTGAAATCTATCTGATTCTTTTAGCTGTAGCAACTAAGACTATGGACCATGTACAGTATTTCTCAGTTTTCTCAATTTCTTTTAATCCCAATTAGCTGAGGTTTATCTGAGGGAACTCAACACTATGTCACATCAGGTTGCAAATAATTAATTTAATGGCACAACATACACCTCCCTGCAAACCCTTATCCTCTCTACAGAAATGGTGCTTCTGGTGTAATTTTTGCAGACACATTTTGAATCAATCATCTGTCATTTTGTACAAACTGCCTCAGATCTGTCATTCATTCATTCATTCAGTTCCTGCTACAGCGTTAGAGACGATGACACATTTGTGGTCAAAATGTTCTCGCCTGTCACAAGCCTTTTTAACAAGTGAGGAGATGTGAAAGTTTAACTCTAAAAGCAACTATAGATCGGCCCAACCTTATAGTCTAACTTTGTCTATGCTTGCATGTGTAATACTAGTAGTAGCAGGTTTAATTGTGACTTGAATGGTGAAACTAACTGCTGTCCGGAATAAACCACAGGCACAGTCCGTGAGCCACAGTTCATTTCCTTTTATGCGTCAGCTTTCATGTCAGTCCTCTTTGAGCCAGGACACTAACCCGATCCTGCCTGATGAATTCAAAGTGATTTAGAGACGCGGGTTTTGATGTAGCAGAACAGGTGTTGCTGGAAAACCCTTTGTTCTGACAAAACACCCTCTCTATACACAACCAGACCACCCACTCCTAAACGACATATGGAAACTGAGTGACATGACTATACAATCACAATGCCTGAGGATACATCCACCGCTTCATCTGTCTATGTCTATCTATCTATCTGTCTATCTATCTATCTATCTATCTATCTATCTATCTATCACATATCACATTTCAGCTCTGCTGAATGTAAACTATTGTGTCATCTACAACAAAATTATACTACAAAGGAGGAACTCTGGGATCTCATTTAGCCTGAAAGGCTGGTCTAATGTCATTTGATGCTTTTGATTTTGTGCTGATTACAGTGACCTGATTAGATTCATCAAAAACATCAAGAGGCGAGAGAGAGAAAGAGAAAAGCTGTTTGATTGTGTGTCCATTACAATTAAACCACAGGAACAACAGATGGGCACAAAACAGACATCAGCAGGTCATTCAAGCTGGATCTGAAACAAACCTTGTGGTTTGCAAATCCGTTTTAGGTCGGATTAGTCCTTAGGCCTTTAAATACAGACTGTTTTAATATAATACAACTGTTTGGTTGGTGATATTGTCACCATTCCAGTCACTAAAGCTAAGTTGGCTAAATATCTCCTTGATATACCTGCTTACTTGTTGTTTGCTGCTTCACTGCTATCCATCCAGCCTGTAAATAAACTCTATAAAACTTACCTGTTCTCCTCATCGTGGGCTCCTTCTGTTTTGTGACAGATATATTATGATAGGATTATTTTCTTTCATGGTGTTCTCCTGTTCAAAATGTACAGTAAGTGTCGCTTCCTGTTGGATATATGGAATGTAAAAGTATAGTTGAGCCAAAACTGAAAATTCTGTCATTATTTATTCACCCTCAAGTTGTTCCACACCTGCATTCATTTTTTTGTTTATTCTGTTGAACACAAAAGAAGATATTTTGAAGAACGACTTCCTTTGACTTCCATAGTATGGAAAAAAATACTATGGAAGTCAATGGCTACCATCAACCCTGTTGAAAAAACTAGCATGTGCTGGTTAGGTATGTTTTGACGCTGGGATGCTGGTTTATGCTCGTCCTTTGCTGGTTTATGCTGGTCCTTTTGCTAGTTTATGCTGGTCCTTTGCTGGTTTAAACTGGTCCTTTGCTTGTTTAAGCTGGTCCTTTGCTGGTTTATGCTGGTCCTTTTGCT